CAGCGGCCCCGGGCTGCGACGCGGCGGGAGCCGAGTCGGGGGCGGCCGGGGTGCCCGGGGCGGCCGGGCTGAGCTGGGGACGCCGCTCGGGAGGGGCTCTTGGGGGTGCACAAGGCAGATGAAGTGGGACCCTCCGGGTACCCCCTTATGCAAACGTGCCCGCAGGGCTGCAGGGGCGGGAGGGTAACTCAGAGTTAGGCTCCACGCGCTGCTACTTCGTCTCTCCAAAGATGCCCTTTGCTGGGAGAAACTGCCTCCACGCAAAGTTCACAGTAATGAGGTGGTTTTTGGTTTGGGTTTGTTTGTTTTTTTTTTGTTTGTTTGTTTGTTTGTTTTTTCTTTTTCTTTTTTTCTTTCTTTTTTTTTTTTTTTTAACTTCTAAAGACAATGCATGAAACATCACAACTAAAGAGTTCTTGGGCTTTAGACTTCATTTTCTTCAGAGGGGTGGCTCTCGGAGTGTTTGGGGGGGTGACAGGGGTAGAAGTAGTCGGTTTCAACTAATTTTGTGCTAAAAGGAGAAACATCTTCCTTCTCTAAACTACAAAATGATTAAAATTAGAATTTTAGAGAGGTACAATCATGAATCTGCGAGCTGAAGATGAGGTGCTTTCCTCCAAAATACTTTCCACTAAATGATTTTTGCATCTTTCTGGAAATGAGTATGTTTTGGAAACATACTATTATCAGAAATGAAAAAAAGCAGTCATATAAAAATGTAAGACTGAAATACGTGTCCTTAATTTTTCTTCCTTTTTCTCTAAGATCTTTATTTTTATTTAGTATAACTATGCAGATACATTTCTTCGTGTGACACATTTATTCCAGAAGTTTTTTGGTCGTATGTGGCATGCACTCTTTATGAACAGAAAAGCAGTAACTCTTTTGCAATAGAAAAACTAGTCAGGTGAAAGACTACTCAAAATACAGTTTCGCAATGAGGCAAACAATATATTCCCTAAAGGAGGGAGAAGACAGTGAACCTCATATGCATAGTTATTCTTGTGTTATCATCAATTTAAATTAGTTGAGAGCAGATTTATATATAGCTCTGCATGCAGAGAGAATTAACAGATAGATCTTCAATGACTCTCAAGCATGGTAATGACCACGCTGGAGTTGTTTCACAGTGTCCACCACCGATTTCCCGTCTAAAAAGTATCCCTGTTTAAATACAGGCCTTTCCACACTAGAGTTATTTAACACTGTCCACCACCGATTTCCCCTCTAAAACATATTCTAATATTAAATAGACCTTTTAATTTTCTTTTTTAAGGCACACATTAATACACTGACTTTTATGGAAATCTGCACGGCACAGCAAGAAGCATTTTTATTCAGAAAAATAATAAGGGTTGGAATGAAACATTCCTTGGCCATGACACACTGAAAAATATTAGGTCAAATAAATTTTGAAATATGTATCCGAGTAGCCAGATTGTATTTAAAGGGTTAATGCCACCTAAAACTTCTAAAGCTGGTATCTGACTGATAAAATCTGCTGCTAGAGCATCTTAGTAAAGTTAAATAGTACAATTTATCACAAGGATTAGGCCCATAATCTCCTGCTGCTCCCCAAGATTTAAATGACATTTTAAAAGGGGAAGTGATCCCCCTCACAGTGGCCCTGGAGTCTAAGGCAATCGTCAAGAGTGTAAATTTACTCACATGAAATAATCATTGATTAAATTGGTTCAAAAAAAATTAAATTACATGCTTTTGCAAGCACAAAACCCTTGAGAGCGGCTGGTGTTTTTCCACCTGTAATAATACAAAATCTGACCATTAAGTACCCAAAATTATATGTTATATGAAAAATTAAAGCCAAAGGTCTAAGGGTGAATTACGTCCTTTAATTGAAAGGATAAAGTTACACTTCAGGTACTGGAGCCAACAAATTCATGCTCACTTAAAAATTTAATGAATGAAGTTTCACGGACTCGATTTTGCTGAAGTTAGCCTGAGAGATGAAGAATGTCTTCATGTTATGATTTGCATTTTAAGTCAGGACACAGCAGATCAGGATGTGGTCTGTATGAACCCATTTCCATGGGCCACAAAAGATCTGTCGAGAACTTAATAAAAGCACAAATATTTTTGTAAACTTTTTCAAGCAAATTACTTATTTATTTATGAGATAATTTATGAAGAAAATTTTTACCTCATGCTTTAGATATATTACATATGCTCCTGATTGACACAATATGTTCAAGCTCAAAGGCCCTCATGGCATTTTTTAACTCTAGTAGGAATATTTCGAAACAAGCAACCAATACATGAGGTCATAATTGTTTGACAGTTGTTTTTAATATATGCAATAAGTTATGTATATTGTTTTCCTTCAAATGTTTGTTGATTTGTTTTTCTAGTCCTGACATTTGCATGGCACAAACCAAATTAGGGGAAATATTAAAGATTTATTTATGTTTATTATCTTCTGCTGTCAAACACATGCAAAACTCTTAAAACCATTCTCTTCTTTTGCTTTTTTAAAAACAACACAGTTCTGAACAATAGAGCCTGGGTGTTAAAATGAAAACCTGAGCTTTTAGCATCAGAAAATAAAGAACCTAGCTCAGACTTTAAAAAAAAAAAAAAGGCAAACAAAAGCAGCAAATTTCAAGTAATAACTTCTTTGCAATCTTTCATAATGGCCCAATTCTGGGATATTTTCTCATGACTGGACCTCAAGCTGTATAAGTGCTTCTTCTTTATCAACATGACATACTATATTTTGTCTTCTTATTTAAACCTTCTTTCTTCCCTCTTTCTTTGTAGTTTATTCAGCAGAGATACAGAGAGGGATTAGCCAGTAAGCACAATCATACTTGTTTTACATTTTCAACCTCTTACCACAGAACTGAGTTACAGCTCCAATGCCTGTAATCACAATGATTTTACCTGATGGGACACGCACTTCAGAATGTAATCCAACTGTTTACTCTGACTCGTCATAAATTGCAATTCCTTTTAGAAACCTCAAAGATTGATAAGCCTTGATCCTGGGTACAGACTGCTCTTACACATCCTATCATGAAAAGTATTTATGTATTATTTGCTCTTCAGACAGTTCTGCATCATAAGAAATGGAAGATCCGTTTCCCTTTCAGTACACCAAAAGCAATTATCTAAGTACTCTACCCTCCATGGTGGTGGGAACTGAAGAAATTGAAACATTAACACAGATGAACTTCATGGGGCCTATTTCTCCCTCCAATCACAGAGTACTCAACCTTTAAGAAAATACTCTTCTGCACAAATTATGATCATTTTACTAACTACCTATTGCTGAACACCTCTGGGTGAATTTATTAAAGACAAAATTCAGCTTTAAATAGCCCGTATCTGGTATTCAAATTCACACCCTCACTTGCCAATCCTCCCCCTGCAATATCAGGCAAATGCCTAGTTAAACAGATGGGCCGTGCAGCCCACCCTAAAAGCCAGCAAACATGGGCTTTATTTAATTAAAAAGGGAAACAAATGTCTGAGGTGCAGACACACACACACACACACACACACACACACACACACACACTTCTTGATGAGAGCGCTCCATGATGAAAATATCAATTCTTTTGTTTTCATTAGGTCTAATGACTGTCCAACTAGGTGCTAACCACTGGCTTGAAAGTAAAAACAAATGAGATCACTCAGTACTGTTTTCTAATCAAGCCACTACAGGTGATGGCAGAACTGACTCCCTCCCCTCAAATAACCATAAGAGAAAACTTGCATCAAAAATAACCCAGATCCAACTCAGCCTTTATCTGATCATGGAAGGGTGTTTTTGATTTTTGTCCATATTTCTTCCCTCTGCTTCACCAACTTCTGCTAACCCCCATCCCATATACTACTTACTCTAAACTCTATGCAATTAACTTTCAGTTGTATATAATCAAGCTCAGGAATGAACTTTACAATTTCAGACTAGAATTTTCCACCAGAAATTCCAACTTGATATGTCTACTATCACAACTGGGGGGAGGGGCTGTAAAGAGAAACAAAATGGAAGGAGGAAGGAAGTGGACCAGTCTCATCTCCGCCCAAGACATGAGTCACCCATGCCAGAAACCTCAGCCTTTGGACATCTTGGGCAGTCCCTTCCCCCCCAGGCCTCCATCCTACAGATTAACCCACCCTCCCATTATACCTCTTCAAAGGGCTTCCCTACTTGTTTCCCCCTCTCTTTCATCGACAGAAACCCTTCCCAAATTCAGAAGTCATTGTGTTTCCTGAGACAGCTCAGTCAGCAACTGCTGCACTGTACTCTTCTTCCACCCAGCAGACAAGAAAGCTAGCAGATAATGTCTTCTCTCTTCTGTATTTTCTATTCCCTGATGCCAAATACTCCAGTGACTCTCCCTGCCCAGGGAATAACCCCGAAGTGTACCTGGTCTTCAAGTCCTCCCAAGACCTAGTCCAAATCGGTTCTCTAGTGTCCTTTATGTGTTCTTTCACACCCTGCTGACCCACTGACTGACCTGCCTTTCCCTGGACACATGGTTCTTCCAGAGTGCTTGCCTTACATGCACC